ACATAAAAAATCTTCAAAAGAATACCATTTCTGGCGTATTACCCTATATAGCTCCTGAAGTATTTAGTGGGGAGGAATATACAAAGGCTGCTGATGTTTATTCATTCGCATTTGTTGCTTATGAAATCATCACTGGAATTCCCCCGTATCACGATGTTTCACATGATAAAGATTTGGCTTTTAATATATGCAATGGATTTCGACCAAAAATTCCATTTAACATGCCTAAACTAATTACACAAATAATTATGCGGTGTTGGGATGCCCGAATTACTCATCGACCCACTTTTGATGAATTATCTGTAGAGTTGGATAAATACTGGATGAATTATAAGAAAAACGGTTTTGACAATAATAATGAAATTTCGATTCAAATTAAAGAAGCTGAAGAATTTTCCAAAAATCAAATAACTGATGCAACAGCTGCAACCTCGGTGAATTATATAACACATCCGCTAGCGATTTATACCAGTAGACTTCTCAATTTTTCAAATCTTCCAAAACCTAAAAATGAAGAAAAATTCGAAAAAAAACTTGCAGAATTAACAGAATCTTTTTACCAAATAAATTCTAGTAAGCATCAATTATATCTTTTATTATAATCATTTCAATTCATAATTAATTTTCTTTTTCTTTTTTTTTTTAATTAGGCGATGATGACAATGATGATGATGATAATGAATGATTTGGATATGTCTAATTTATAAAATTTTATGTTTATTTTACTTCATATTTTGAGCTTCATAACTATTAAGATTAATAATAAGCCAATAATCACTATTTTAAGAATTTTGAAATATTACTTATATTAATTGTAAATTTCCTTTAATTTGATAATTCAAGATTTGTTGCTTTATCAAACATATTTTCATATTTTTGATTATTATTAAATTATGTCTAAGAAATCTAACTGAAATGTGTTTCAATTTATATTAAAATAAAATTCAATAAAAAAAATTCAAAAAAATAAATAATATAAAATTACAGAAAGTAAGGGATATTTATATAATAATTACCAATGAACATTCACAAGAAATTGTATTAAATATACATCATTTTTTTTTTAATTTAATATGAATAAAACAGGTTATCTATTTGTACATAAATATTAACCTATAAATTTCTTAACATTAATTTAAAAGAAAGTAACGCCCGATTTTCTGATGTAACAATATGCAATATTTTCACAAATAATTCTCCCTTTTTTCTCGCCAATTTATTTTTTTATGACTGTATGAATGTTATATAAAGATTTGTATGGTCAAAAATGACATCCAAACTGGAGTTTCAACAGGATAATTGTCCAATCAAAACTGTAAAAAAAACGTAAAATGGTTTGAGACCAAAAAAAAATTAAAACGTTAGACTGAAAAGAAAATTCTCCCGACATTAACACCATAGAAAACATGTAAAAGGATAATATCTAGAAAAAAAATTTTTTTTTTTCAAAACTATAGATGAACTCAAGACTGCTTTGAATGACTCAATGCCACGAAGAATTGAAACAACATTGGATGCAAAGGGAGGGCCAACTAAGTATTAGTTAATTATAAATAAAAAAAAAAACTTTATGTACATAATATAGAAATATAATAAATCATATACATATCGGAATTTTTATTTTATTAAAAAATCGGGCGTTACTTTCTGACGCGACTGTACAAACAATTTCATGATATCCCAATTAAAATTTGCTCAAAAATCTTCAGTCTTTGTTAAATTAAATTTTTGTTTGAAATATAAAATTAAAAATAAATTCTAATGGTGCTTAGAAAATTCAACCAATCAAGCATAACTGTACTGTAACCAATAAATAATCTTTAAAAATCACCTTATATGGCGATTTTCATGGTCCTCTTTTTTTAACAAGATCTGTAATGCACTTACACTCTATAAAAAAAACCAATTATGGTAACATCGCATTAGTTTTTGCAAACAACATAACTCATTATAGGAAATTTTCACAGGGGAAATTTCTTATTCCGAGAGTTGACTGTAATCGGAAAAAACAGAGACAAAGATATATAAATAAAGACCCGACTATAAAACCAAACTCGTTTACGCCAACAATTGCATAATGTTTACGCCAAGTAAGGATAAGATCTTTTTTAGTTTAATAAATGGCAATGGCATAACGTGTATTCAATGTATATAACATAACTTATTGTGCTTAAAATACTGTGACTATTTATTTATGGATTAGCAATAATTTGTACATGATTAATAAAATAATAATAAATGCATCCAAAAACTAATGAAATAATAATACTTAATGACATAACCAAGTAAAGATAACGATTGTATTCACTATCAACCCTAATAAGACAATCTTTAAGAAATGATGATACAAAATCCAGATATCTGTGATCATTAACAGAAAAACCGTTACGAAAAACAACCACCTTATTTTTAGGATATATCTCATAAATATCATTTTGATACAGGTTAAATAAATCGTGAAGATAATCCTCACTACAAGTTTCTCCTGATCTATTCCTGTTTTTTACTCTATCAACTGTGATACTGAATTCTGGTTGAACAAAAACTACTTTATCAATATTTAATTCAATAAACGAAACATAGCTATTTAAAAAAGTAACATAATCAAGATTGGAAATGTTCATTTTTGTAAAAACTTTAGTATCTAAAGGTGTTCTATCTAAAATCACAACATCAAATTGATGACTAATTCTACTAAATGACTCAATCACTCTTTTAAACATAGAAATAATGAAATAATGAAAAAAAAGCGTGACATTTTCCTTATTCGATGTAGCAAGTTTTTCAATTTCTAATACTGTTTCTTTTTCCATTGTACAATGTTTGATGCGCTCTAATATATCATCCGTCTTATTTCTTTCTTCGTAGAATATTTTTAATGCTCTGCTATCCATCAAAGCAGCTTCAGAAATTAAGTGAACATTCTTGTCCTTAGATTTTAAATAAGATGTAAATATATGTGACAAAGTTGTTTTACCCGCTCCTATAGGGCCAGTTAGAATAATTGTATAAGGAATGACCTTAAATA